TATAAACTTAAATAATACAATCTTATGAATAGAACTGCTATGAGCATGGTTGAGCAAATGTCCTTTGTTGTATAGTTGAGCATGTTTCAGATATATGGTATAGTTGGATCTTGAGGTAGCACTATTCCTAATTTTCTGAGAAAGCACCAGCTTGATTTCCAAAGTGGTTGTACAAGTTTACATTCCCACCAGTAATGGAAGAGGATTCCCCTTTCTCCACCTCCTCTCCGGCATGTGTTGTCACTTGAGTTTTTGATGTTAGCCATTCTGATGGGTGTAAGGTGAAATAATCTCAGGGTTGTTTTGATTTGCATCTCCCTGATGACTAAGAATGTTTAACATTTTTTAAAGTGTTTCTCTGCCATTCAATATTCCTCTATTGATAATTCTCTGTTTAGCTCTGAACCCCATTTTTTAATTGGATTACTTGGCTTGTTGGTGTTTAACTTATTAAGTTCTTTATATATTCTGGATATTAACTGTCTATCAGATATGGGGTTGGTGAAGATCGTTTCCCAATCTGTAGGTTGCTGTTTTGTTCTGATGACAGTGTCCTTTGCTTTACAGAAGCTTTTCAGTTTTATGAGGTCCCATTTACTGATTGTTGCTCTTAGAGCCTGTGCTTTTGATGTTCTGTTCAGGAAGTTGTCTCCTGTGCCAATGAGTTCCAGGGGAGCATGGGTTGTCTCTGGCATGCACTCAGTGGCAGACTCTCTGATTACCTCTCCCTGGGGGTTGCCCTTTGCCAGGCTACAAAGGAAGACAATGCAACCAGTCCTGATGAAACCTGATAGGCTAGGATCAGACAGAAGGGGTGGAGGACCTCCCCTATCAGTGGACTAGGGGAGGGGTATAGGAGAAGAAGAGGGAGGGAGGGATTGGGAGGAGATGAGGGAGGGGGCCACAGCTAGGACAAAGTGAATAAATTGTAAAAACAGAAAACAAAAAACAAAAAAAAAACCCCAATAAATAAATAATTAAAAAAATAATAGCATTTTAACCTGAGATGGAGACCATAGTACTAACTGTAGGTTGTATGGAGAATAATTAAATAATTAACACAGCATATGTAAAAGTGAAGCTGGTTCCCTTAGTCATTCAAAAAATACTTACTAAGTGACTACTATATCCTAGGACCCATATAGGGACCCAGTGTTAGCACAGAGGACAAGAACACATAGAATCAGCACGAAGTTTACCTTTTTTACACTCGTGGAAGGACGAGAGACAATGACTTCCAGCTATTGCTTGAGTCGTGTTTGAACAGCCCATTGTGCTAATGCAGGTACTATTTCAATCCCTCCTAGGAAAGAAACTGGCTGAGAATGAACAGCAGACAAGAGCATAGTTAGGAGCTGAGTCTTTGTTGATCTGTCCTCTAAACCAGTGTCTTCAACCTGGAAGACATGTTAATTAGAGCAGAAGTGTTGTATGAGGCCAGGATGCTCAGATACCCCATACATTCTGGGAGGGTAGTTCATTCCAGTCAAACCCATGGGTAGTGTGCCTTGAGAACCTAGAGGGACGCTCATATCTGAGTGCATCTTGCTTTCCCAGAGGAGGGCAGAATCTTCCTGAGTCACTGTGATAATGGTTGTTTAGAGCACTTAGCGTATGCCCCAGTCCTTGTTTGTTCTCCAGAAATGTGTGTGTACTATATACTGAGGAGTCCTAAAGGCTCCCAAGATTATATAGCATGTATTAACCATAAAGACACATCATATTAATAATTCTGTGAACTATCAAAGAGGTCCCTGAAGCCATATAAAACCCTGGGTCTCATGTTCTAAAAAGCATAATTTATGGGTTTATTCAAAGACAGATCAACGGTTTTAGTAGTGATTTGGGGAATGAAATGGGGAGAAATTTATTCAGAGAGGAGGGAACCAGAAAAAATGTCAGGAAAGGGTTGATATTTGGCTTAGGTACCAGAGAGTAAGTAGGGGGTCAATTTACTATATACTTGCCAATTTACTATATCTCAGGCGTTGGGTGTTTATTTTTATCCTGATGATTTTGTGTCATTCTTACTGTATTAAATATGTATGTTTTCCATAGGAGAGAATGGGTTTCACTAAGGTTGACATGTGAGTAAAATAAGGAATAGGAGCATGTCTTTCCTCTTTTGTAGCCTGTCTTATCCAAAGCTCTTCTCAGGCTGTAGTTTCTCCTCTATGGAGACCCATGTGTGTGTGTGTGATGTGTGTGTGTGTGTGTGTGTGTGTGTGTGTGTGTGAGGCATGCGTATGCAGATGTGCATACATGTGAATGGGAGCAGGGGATCACCCTGGGAGTTCTTCCTTGGGAGCTGTTCACCCCTCCTCCCTCTCTCTTGCTCCCTTTTCCTCCCTCCCCTGTTGGTCTAGAGCTTTTCAGGTAGGCTAGGGTAGGGGGCCAGAGAGTCCCAAGAATCTGTCTTTCTCACCCTGACTTTCTTACCCAGTGCTGAGATTTCAAGTATGTGCCACCATTCCTGCATTTTTCATGTAGGTTCTAGTGATCAGACCCATTGCTTGCAAAGCAAACTTTTGCCCGCTGAGCTAAACACACCATTCTGGAGCCTCAGTTTCTTGAGGAAGATCTGTCTGGGCATGGCTAGTTTTATGAGATGAGCTGAATTCTATTGCTGACTGGCATATACCTAATGAAGTTTAGCAACAGGCTGGCAGGTGGGGAGAAATGAAAACATAGCTGTAGTTTACTAAACAAGGAGACTCAGAAAGACAAAACCCACCATGTTCTCCTTTGTGCACAGATTCCTAGCCTGCAATGTGTGCCTGTGTCTATCTACATAGTAGTAAATAGGGCTAAAACCTAAACATCTAGAAAAGAGGTCATGACAGACTGAGAAAAGGTAGTGAGGAAGGAGACAGAAGGAGCAAAATGACTCATGGGACAAGAAAGAAGATGCTTGGGAGGTGCAAGTTACAAGTGGGGTTAGAGAATAGAGGAGATAGGAGAGATTCTACCAAAATACATTTTGTTTGAAAAGTGATACTTATATCCAGTATTTACACATTTTAAAATAAAAATAAGTTAACAATAAAGCACATCTGATTTAAAGTCAAGCTAGTCTCTGTTTAGACCTCAGCTCTGCCAATTCTAAGCTGCAGAACTATAGCATAAACAGCTTGTACCTCTGACCCTCAATATTGACATCTTTTTTTTTCTCATAAAGGAAAACATTTAATTGGGGCTGGTTTACAGGTTCAGAGGTTTAGTCCATTATCATCATGGAAGGAGACATGGCAGCATCCAGGCAGACATGGTGCCAGAGAAGGAGCTGAGAGTTCTACATCTTAATCCACAGGAAGCAGAAAGAGACTGTATCACACTGGGTATAGTTTAAGCATAGGAGGGTTCAAAGCCCACCACAACAGTAACACACTTTCTCCGGTAAGGCTACAACTCCTAAGAGTGCTACTCTCTCTGAGCCTGGGGGTGGGGGAGGGTCAACTGCATTCAAACTACCACAATGACCAAAAGCAATTTTTAGAGGAAAGGGTTTATTTTGCTTATACTCCCATATCACAGTCCATCATTCAAAGGAAGCCAGATCAGGGACTGAAGAAGAGAATGTGGAGGATTGCTGGACAACTGGCTGCTTACTGGCTTCTTCAGTTTACTTCCTTTTACCGTCTAGAACCACCTGCTGAGGGCATAGAACCGCCCACAGTGGGCTGATCCCATCCATACCATTCATTAAGGCAATATGCCATAGATCTGTCAGAGGTCCAGTCTTTTTTTTTTTTTAACTTTTTATTGATTCTTGGTTGAGTTTCACATCATTCATCCCAGTCCTACTCCTCTTCCTGTCCCCTCATATCTGTCCTATGCTCTTACAACCTCCCCGCCCCCAAAATAAAACACACACACAAACAACAACAAACCAACAAAAGCTTTGGAAAACATCTCATTATGGAAGCTGAAGTGTGTCACAGTGTGTCTCATAGCATATCCCTCTGTCCACACATCTTCACTTGCAAATGTTCACTGCAATGAGTCATTGGTCTGGTTCAAGATCTCTGGCTTCTGTGACACCATCAGTATTGGATCCTCACCAGGACTCTTCCTAGTTGTCTTTTTGTTGCTCGGTGTCATGGAGATTCTGAAACTTTGGAAGAGCAGGACTGGGCCTTTCACATGCCCCAACCATTTGCAGATGCTATAGATTTTGCAGTGGGCCACCTTAGAGCCCTGGGTGGTCGCAGACCTGGTCAGTCCCCCATCTCTCCCTTCTCTGCACCACCAGTACAAGCTCTCCAGCACTGCTCTGGCTAGACCGCCCATTCCCGCCATCAGCAGGAGGTAGGGTCAGCTCTCCTGCTCTCATACGTTTGGGGCCAGCTCACTGGCACCCACACCTCTAGTTGCCCAGTCAAGGTACTTGGCCTACATCCTGTGAAGGTATGGGACAGCTATCTACCTCTCACACCCTTGGGGCTGGCTCGCCAGTACCTTTGCCATCAGGGTCAGCTCTACTGTGTTGCCTAGGCAAAGGGCAACACTGTTCTCCCCAGTGTGGCCAGCAGTGAGAGATGGGGACAACTCTTCAGGCCACTGTGTTGCTGGAGGGGCATTGCCAGTTCTGCACAGCTCCTGGACATCCAGGTGGTCCCCCGTGGCTGCCTCGATGGGGAATATCCCCATGTTCTCTGGTTGTAATATGAGCAACAGACACAAACATTTGACTCTAGCTGGTGCAGAGCTGTGGACTCAGACATGGCCCTCAGCCGCAGCTCGTGCTGGGATCTCACCGTGGCCACAAGGTGTCAAGGTCACTCACAAGAGGCTACTTACTCCTTTCCACCCTCGAATCCCTAGTTCCATCTTTCTTCACGATACTCAAGCTGCACCACTTCTTCTTTTTTTTTTTTCCTTCCATCAGACCACCACATACTCATACATTGTGGTGGCTTCAGCAGCAGGCTGGCCCTGAGGCTGGCAGGCTCATGGGTGCCATGCTCCATCCATGCTGTGTGGTGTGTTAGTAAGCAGGTGTTTATGGCCTAGGGATAGAACAGCTTTGGTCACAAGGACAGGCATCAAGCTAGAAAGAGCATAGGACTGCCATCTGCCTTGCCCTTGACTGAGACAAGACCACCACTACCAACAAGGTGTCTCTTTGCCCATTGCCAGGGGCTAGTATTGACATCTTTGAAAATGGCTAATGGAAGACACTGCTGTGAGCATCAGATGAAACTTAGCTGCGGCAGGCCTGGAATGCATTTTCCATGCTCTTTACTAACTCTTTTCCTCAATCATCACTTTGCCATGGCTGTATTGAAGGACACATCCCTTGTCTTTTTTTTTTTTTTTAAACATGTTCTCGTGTGGTTTTGTTTGCTTTTTAGGTCCCTCAGATCACATTAACATGTCTCATAAGCTAATGTTGTTTTTTTTCCCGGTTGTTTCTCTTTTTTTTCTTTTTGAATTTATTTATTTTTATTCTTTTAACTTTTATTAATTACACTTTATTCACTTTGTATCCCCCTCCTCCCCTTCGAATCCCACCTCCCTTTCCCTTCTTCATGCATGCCCCTCCCCAAGTCCACTGATAGGGGAGGTCCTCCTCTCCTTCCTTCTGATCCTAGAATTGTGTGATAGAAGTGGGAAATAGTAAGATCTGGAGAGGACAGGAGCTCCACAAGGAGAGCAACAGAACCAAAAAATTTGAACACAGGGGTCTTTCCAGAGACTCATACTCCAACCAAGGACCATGCATGGAGATAACCTAGAACCCCTGCACAGATGTAGCCCATGGCAGTTCAGTGTCCCAGTGGGTTCCATAGTAATGGGAAGAGGGACTGCCTCTGGCATAAACTGATTGGCCTTCTCTTTGATCACCTCCCCCTGAAGGGGAGCAGCCTTACCAGGCCACAGAAGATGACAATGCAGCCACTCCTGATGAGATCTGATAGACTAGGATCAGAAGCTAATGTTTTTATCCAGCTGTGTTCTGCTTCATCTCTCATTGTCAGCATTATTTGGTGAAGAGTGACTGTGTATGCTTTCAAAGAATCTGGAACAAGATTTGACCCTTAGCAGGTGAGCAAGAAATGCTTGGTGGATGGATGAAGTTTTTCAGCGAGCTCTTTCACCTTAAAGCACATTGACTACTTCTTTTATTTTTGTCTCTTCACAATCTTGACAGCATCTTTCATGAATGTACTTTTTAAACTTTTTTATTTTCTAATGCCTGATTTTGTTGGGTGACCAGAATCTGCGTTTATGAGCCCGGATGCCAAGTTGGCACTGACAGGCTGTTGCCTGTGTCCCCTTCGCCGCTCACTACCTGTCAGTCCCTGTCAGTGATAAATTTCTTGCAAGCAACCTTGGTTATGCAGAGAATTATTTTTTTCCAATCCTTTAATGTGGAATGTGCTGATTAATAGTTCTTTAAACACTTTTGGGGGTCTAGTTTCCACCTGTTTGCTGTTGTGACACATGGAAATGTGGTGTGATTAAGACTCTCATGTCATTACTTGCAAAGCCCCTGGAGGGACTCTAATTTACATATTTGTCCGTTAAAGAGAGCAGCAGGCATGTGGCTGGCCATGCAGAGTGGGCACTCTGAGTGGCTCAGATACGTTTACTTAGAATGAAGAGGAATTCAATCTTCTTGACTTGGTTAGAGCAAGCCCCAAGCTGTGCTGCTAAGTAAATAATGAGCCACCTGCTCACCAGGAGCCTTTATCTTCCCATTAAGAGACAAGCTGGCATTGAGATTTGGGTTCAGAGGAACGAAGGCTTACTAATGGGGAAGAGGGACACCGGACATGTCTTTGAGGACGCCTGACCTCAGGACTGATCCCTCAGAGCTCTGTGTTTCCTGCAACCTAGGCCATTAGCCTCCCTTAAACCGTTTAATACTTCCAAATGGTGTTTCACATTGTACTGCCATTGCACACTGAGCTAACAACTCCTGCCTGGGTTGTGTGTGTGTGTGTGTGTGTGTGTGTGTGTGTAGCTTTGTATTGTGACACTCCACTTCAAACGCTTTCTTTCTGACCCTGCCCCTATTCAACTCATTCTTCCAAAAGTAGTTCAAATTAGGACTTAAAAACACAATAGTTTTGATTACACTTATCACATAAGAGCTTACAGCTCTTCAATGCCCTCCTTATTCTCTTCAGGTTGTCACTCAACTCTTTAGCGTCAATGCTTATCTTAAGAGGTTGGAGTCAGGTAATGTGACTTAGTTCACAGAAGGAACTTGGGAATTTCTAGAATATAATAAATTTAGATGAAAGTTGGCCAATAGTGGTGTCTATTGGATAGACTAGCTATTGTTTGGCAATGGTATTGTTTAGATTTGATGGTTGGTTGTTGCTGGTAATGGTTGTTGGTACTAGTAGTTGCTCATAATGATTTTGATAGCTCAGATAGTTGTTGACTCTCTGCAGTTTCCTTTATGTGGTGGTTGTTTGTGGTGGTGCCTAATTCTCTATAGGGGCTATTCAGTGAAGGGGCAAATGGTTGTGGTGATGAATAGCTTTGGTGGCAATGTCTGCTTGTTTGTGGTGACTGCAATGCTGTATGGTTAGGTGAGAGGGTGGCTGACTTATTGCGTTTTCTGTGAGGATTTGTAGTGTTTGATTCAATGTGATAATGATGCATAGCTGGGGGGTTTTGTCTTTATCCTACATACTCCTAGTATTCTTATTTATTTATTTCAATGTATTCTCGTTATATATCCTCACTGAACCTCCTTCCCTCAACTCTTTCCCCCTATCCCTTTCCCCTAGTCCACTGAAAGGAGGAGTTCTCCTCCTCTGCCATCTGCCCGTGGCTTATCAAGTCTCATCAGGACTATTTGGATTCTCTTCTTCTGTGGCCTGGCAAGGCTGCATTGCCAAGGACAAGTGATCAAAGAGCAGGCAACCAAGTTCAGTAATGCATAGTTGTAATGGTTGCTTTTCTATGGTGATGGCCAGTTGTTTGGGGTGACTATGTTATTCAGTTGTTGCTGATGACTAGTTGTGTTATGGTTTGGTTGGCTGGGTATGATACACGCAGGCTTATGAGCTCACACAGTTTAAATTTAAGGTCTGAGTCTCCAAGTGTGCTCATTCAGCTAACCTTGTGACAAAGAGATGCTTACAGTGTGAAACTGTACACATGAAAATTTACTCAGTGTGAACTTATGCTCGTGACCTGGAGCTTCAGCCCATACATTAAATTCTACCTTGTTTTATTTGCCCTTGGCATCTTAAAAAATATGATAGTTTCCTCTAATTTGCAACTTCCAGTTCTCTTTATTTTTTTTTAGATTTCACATGCACTGGATAAAATTTCTCTTTCCCATCTTAGTCTCCAGCAAAACTACTGGCTCCAACTCTATGGACCATTCAGACTATATATTTTAACTCAGAACATTCAACATCTACACATCAAATTCTGAAGAATACGGGTAGCCATTTTCTTCAAATATGGAACAGACAAATGTCAGGATCATAACTGCGTTGGCATGAAAGTCTTTTCAGAGCACGTCTTGCTTGTGCAATGGTTCCTTCAAGGGATGTTGTGAAGGGGGCCCAGCATGGGCACATGTAGACTCATGATGAACAGCAGGAATTGACTTCCACCTCCAAGGTGCTTCCCAGAAGGCCCGTGGCTAAAACCTGAGAGTGCCTCTCAGAGAAAGTATATATGAAGGAGGAACTGAAGAGATTTAGGAATGAAAATGGAGCCATTGACATCTGCATACTGTCAACGGTGGCTTCAATCTGGGTGAGAAAGTATAGCTTTTCACCCCATGCCAGCTGAGAGCAGATGGCTAATGACCCCGAGAGTACTGATGGAGAGTATATGTAGCATGATATTTTGCAGGTCTGGTGTAGGTGGAAGGTTTGGTGCAGCAGAAGGAATGTTCAGGTTAACTGTTGGAAAAGTGACCAAAGGCAAATTGTCAAGGCTGAGAATCTGAAGAGCACATGAAAGACAAGATGCTTGGAGGAAAGAAGATAGAAGCTCGTGTGTGCTGAATGCAGTTGGCATCCACACACTTGCTCTTCTTTTATCCCTGGGGCTAATTTACCATTTGAAAACTAAGTTATTTGAGGCCAGTGATTTTGTCTTTTGTTTTTAAATTCCACCTTTTCTGAGATGACAGAGGACAGATGGCTTGGTTTTTTTATTGTTGTTGCTGTTCCTGTTTTTTTTTTTTTTTGACTCAATGGGTTGGGAATCCTCATTCTTTATAATATCTATTCTTGACTAAGAAAACCCTGGATTAGAAGAGGCACACTTGAGAGTGTGTCTATGAGAACACCTCCAGCAATGGCCGGAACATAGAATAGCAACTGAGCAGGGAAGACCTGCCATGAATGTGAGTGACACCGTAGAACGAGGGCCAACTTGGAACCAAGGCATGAGGAAGAAGCTCTTACCATAGCCTTGTCTCTCCTGACCTTCATGATGTGGGTAGACGTGAACCCTCAGATTGATGCTCTATCTGACCACAGGCCCAGAAGAACAGAACCAACTGACATAAAACCATAGACTAAAATTAACCTTTCTTCTTTGAAGTGTATTTTCTTAGGTGTCTGTCAGAGTGGGGAAAAGCTGACTGACTTGCCCTCCAGACTTAGACTATTCCACCATATATCTCTGTTATTCAGTTGTTCATAGACAAGTAGGACTCCTCTCTGGAAGGGCTCTAAGAGTGTTGTGGGAAAATGCAGAGGGAAGTTTTCCTCCATCAGACTCATGATAGACAAACCATTTTTCACCATCATTTCTACCAATTCTTACTTTATAATAGAGTTATTAGGCCTGTTACGAAGTAACATGGTGCATCAGATCCATTAAAAATCTTATCAAGTGACAGTTTCTCCCCTCTCTGTGACTTTCATAATTACATTGTTAATTATTTTGAGGAAAAAAAAGACCCTGAAACTAATGTAGGTTTGTTGAGAAATTTTCCTCAGATCACACAGCTGTGAAAGCAGGATTAGAATTGGACCTATATATCTGGCCCATAATGTAATATTCTCCTGGAGATTAAGAATTGGGTAAATTGCCTGTAATCTCCCAGGATGTGCTTGTTTGTGACTTCAGAGTCATCAATCATTCATTGAGCTGTGCCCGTGTTGGACAGCATTCTCCAAGATGTAGGGCCAAAAAGACATTTAAAAGATGG